CAAAACAAAAAGGAAACAAAAGATGCTCCACCCGGCCCTCCTCCGGGGGAAGGAGTGGTGCGATCACCACCTCCTGAAGAGCAGGATCCAGAGTCTCCGGGTCGCCTGTCTCAGGGACGCCGCTTGCCCTGGCGCTTTACGGGCCTGGCAGGGGCAGAGACAGGCTGTGCCGCTTTCCTGCTGCCAGCTCCACGCTGCGGCCGGTGTGAAGGCTGCTGCTGAGGCCGAGCTGGAGCGGAGGTGGAGGCAGCAGGAGGGCGCCCTCGGTGATGAGCGGGAGGAGGGCCTGCAGCCGGCGGGGGGGGGTGATGACAGCAGCAGGTCGCCGTGGCAGGATGTGTCTGATCGCCTCCGTCTGCTTCTGTGCGGCGGAGAACTGCTGGGCAAAGCTCTCCACCGCATCGCTGAAGAGGCCAGCCTGAGAGATTGGGAAGTCCAGGAAACTGTGTTTGTTGGCCTCCCTCATATCTGCCAGGTTCAGCCATAGGTGTCGTTCCTGGACCACCAGGGTGGACATCATCTGACCGAGGGACCACGCCGTGACTTTCGTCGCCGTGCGTAGTTCCTGCATTACCCCTGGGTCAGAACTGCCCTTGTGCAGCTGCTTCAACGCCTTGACCTGGTAGACCTGCAGGAGGGCCATGGCGTACAGGGCGGAGGTTCGCAATAGCGCGCTCAACTGGGGGGGATCTCCACATACCCCTTAGCCGCCCCGCCATCGAGGGCAGTGAGGACGGAAGAAACACTAACTCGGGCAGAAAAAGGTGCCCTCCAAGGTCTCCAAGATCTAGTAACTTCTTCATGCACTTCCGGGAAGAATGGAACCGGAGGTGGCTGCCGACGATCGGCCTGCGGCACCCCCAGGAACCAATCATCCAACCTCGAATGTTCGGGAGACGCTCTCGGTGGCCCGGGAAAGCATAGCAGTCAGCTCTGGATCTGACTCGGGCAACGCCACTCTTCCTGACGGAGGCAGCGCAGCCGAGTCCTCATCTCCAGAGCCAAGCTCGTCCCCCGATGCAGTGATCGACATCCTGTCATCTGCCGGAGGCCCGAATGAGATGCTAGACCCCGCCCTATCCGGGGTCTCAGCCACCTCATCGCAGAACACCAGAGGTTACGATGTGCTGGAGGAGTGAGGGGTCTGCGGAGACGCACTCGATGGGGAAGCCCTCACTGTGATCCTCAGATCGCCCTGGCCATATGCCGAAGTAGTCCTCCACTGCTGATCGGGAGAAGGAGGAGGCCTCCAGTGCAGCCCGACGCTCTCGGCGGCCCGGGAAAGCATAGCGGTCGGCTCTGGATCTGACTCGGGCAACGCCACTCTTCCTGACGGAGGCAGCGCAGCCGAGTCCTCATCTCCAGAGCCAAGCTCGTCCCCCGATGCAGTGATCGACATCCTGTCATCTGCCGGAGGCCCGAATGAGATGCTAGACCCCGCCCTATCCGGGGTCTCAGCCACCTCATCGCAGAACACCAGAGGTTACGATGTGCTGGAGGAGTGAGGGGTCTGCGGAGACGCACTCGATGGGGAAGCCCTCACTGTGATCCTCAGATCGCCCTGGCCATATGCCGAAGTAGTCCTCCACTGCTGGGAGGAATTAGAACGGGGCATGGGGAGGGGGACTCGATCGCAACATCGCGATGATCATGTCCCCGCAATGAGAACATGAGTCATCCACGAGCGCTGCCTCAGCATGCTCAATGCCCAGGCACGAGATGCAGCGATCATGACCATCAGATGGAGCCAGGAAGCGATCACACCCAGAAACACATGAGTGGAAGGCCATCTTTAAAAAGATGCCACGTCACTCTTGGAGCTCTTTTAGATTTGTTCTTTTAGGAAAAAAAGTGTTGAAGCGCCCAGGAGAGGTCGCAGCGTGACCGCAGTATGAAGAGCTGCAGCATGTCGTCCACACCAACAGTAGCACTGGACCAGCAACCCCCGCTGACACGCCGTAACACCAACACTGTCGGATGTTGTCTTGTAGACACTTGCTCTTTAACCAGACCAACTGAAAGGCTCGGCTCCGAAGCGAAAAGCTGAATTTGCGACTGCACGCACTCTCCTTATATACCCGCGCTTCGTGGCAGGGTGCGCGACGCAAAGATCACACGCCAACACTTATTGGCTTGTTTTGTTAACTCTCGAAGGTGATTGTCTCTCTAGCGAGGATCCCAATTCATCAGTCACTGACGTAACGTCGAACATGACTGACTGAAAGGGAACCTATGCTGCATGTTTAATTCAGTCCTCCCTTTAATTCAGTTTTGTTTAGAAATGTCTTGACATTGACTTATACTGAGTCGAGAAGGAGTTGTGTGACGGTCACGTGTCCCTCCCTCCAGCTCCTATTGGCTCAGTGGAAGTGTCAATCAGCTGCTCCTCCAGTGGGGCGATGAGGGTTTTCTGCTTCTCTGAGGGCGATCAGATCCTCTACAGCTGGACTCTGAATGGAGGTCCACTGATGGATGGAAACTCCAGCATTGATCTGGATGAGAGAACTGATGGAAACATCAGCTGCAGTGTGAAGAACCACGTCAGTCACAGACAGAAGACTGTTAGTGTCAAACCCTGTCCTGGTGAGCTTTTAATACATGAATGTCCACATATTTATAAAAACCACAGCGACAGCAACAAGAGTGATGAAGATGAACGAATCTCACAAAACCTGTCAAGAACATGTCCAAGTCACATTTCACCACAATATCCTCTTATGCCAGAGTGCAATATTTCTGATGCGTATTTTGACGGACTGTGACGGTTTTATCTCCTCTAGGACTTTAGTTGATTCTTTAAAAAAAAAAATCACCCTAAAAGCTAAATAAATTATATTTTGCATGAAGAAAATGAGGGCTATTTTACAACCATTCATTTTATTTGCATTTTGAAAATTATAAACATTTCTACTCCCTAAAGTTTCTTTATTGTAATGTTCTAGAATTTACTTTTTTGTAATTGTTATTATTTACAGTGATACTTAATATTTTTCCCCTTTTTACATTTTCATCATATGTGCAAAATGGTTTAATTCCCCTAAAAACATTCAATGAAACATGATTGCAAAATATTACTAATTACAGTTAGTACAGTTAGTCAGATTTTGAACTGAAATGTGACCTGGGCGTGTCCTAGACAGGTTTCATGAGATTCAAACAAATTGATTCTCGTAATTGGCCACTTAATTCTTCAAAATAATTAATAATCTATGCAGCAGTTTATATTGAGAGAGAAAACAAGTGATTCTGCAACAATGTTTTATTACAGGACCAACTACTGCATCTGTGACCTCAACAGTAGAAAAGGATTCAGCTGGTATGAATCTCACCCATGTAGTATTACCTTTATCAATGTGTGCGTGTTGAGCAACAGCGAATGCAAATTACAAATAAACCTAATAATGATGGCTTTGAGAGATCTGCAGGCTCTTCTGTAGTTAAATGTTTCATGAACTAATGTACTATGCTACTAATTGCATGGAGTTGTTATTCCTGTTGCTGTTGCAGTTGGTATGAATTAACCTTTCAAAGTAGTTTTAGAGTTTGATTTAAATGACCTCGTGTTTCTTTCTTCTATAGTCTTACATGTCTCTCTGATTGCTTTGGGCTTTGTTGCGCTGATCCTGTTTCTGCTGTTCATCACCGTATATCACATTTACAAGAAAAAACAGGTCAAGTCGACACCAGGTCAGTTCATTTCAAATCTGTAGTCCATATACTAACTGATAAAGGTTAAAATGTAGTACTTTTTGATGCAAGCAGCAATTACAGAGCCAGAAACATTGGTTAATACTTAGGCTTTCAAATCTTGAGAAGATTTGTGGGTTATATGTTAAATGTTATGACAGTTTTAAAGACAGCTGCACCAAAGGCCAAAAGCATAAACATTAAGCATGTGGTGAAGATGGTCTGAGCTAATTTTGGTGGAAATTTTACTAATTTTCTGGGATTGACCAATGCAAATTGGTGTAAAATGGCAGAAAGTTTTTTGAAACAATACTGTTCTTCAAAACTCATGAATATAAATAAAAAATCTTTAAGCCAGATAATTCAATAATGATTTTTGACCATTACTTTGTTTGGCCAAGTACTCATGATCACAGTATGTATAGCAAAGTTACATGATCAGAATTATTTTTTATGTGAATTGTTCAAAAAGGCGTTTTTTTTACAAAAGTCTTTGTATGTTCACAATGTTCAAAAATTACAGCAACATGTGAAATGTGTGTAAAATATCCAGATGTTTAGTGTTTATTTGACACTGCATTTTGATAACACTGTTCATATATAATTACAATATAATAATAATAATAAATAAAAGTGAAATTGTGCTTTGTTGGTATAATGTCTACTAGAATGTTAAAAAATGTTCAGTGTTAAATATTTTTAAATAGTTGTTTTGTAATTGATTTTTTCTTCGTAAAGCAAGACAAAACAGTAAAAAGCACATTTTGGCTATTTAATATGGTGACGCATTGCTGCCACACACATATTTTTTTCCACTCAATTATGTCGTAATAACGAGATGTTATGTCGTTTTAACGACATCTTTTCTCGTTAAAACAACATCTTTTCTCGTAATAACGAGATGTTTTCTCTTAAAACGACATCTTTTCTCGTAAAAACGAGATATTTTCTCATTAAAAACGACATCTTTTCTCGTAATAGCGAGATATTTTCTTGTTAAAACGACATCTTTTCTAGTTAAAACGACATTTTTTCTCGTAATAACGACATATTATGTCATAAAAACGATATGTTTTCCGTTATTATAGATATATGGTAGGCTATTTGTGAGCATGCTAAGCGACTGTCTGACATAAACGAGGATCTGCACACTGCTGAAATGATTGAAATACACTGTTTTAAATGTATTTTAATGTAATGGTTTTAATTGTAGCGGCATGTTTATTAGGATTAATCTCCAATCTGTCTACAATATAGTGCTATCCAATAAATATTTGTTTCACATGCGTGGGCAGCTTTGATACTTTAGTCTGATTATATATTAATTATGTATTAGTGATTATATATTATTAAAGGATATCTTTAGCTAAATCAAGCCGCGCATCGCATCACATTCTTCTTATGGGAATACAGATGAGCTCAGACGGGAAAGACTGTACAATACCTCTTGTTGGATTTAGGCTATACAAATAAAAAATAAACACACATTTGTTTTCGATTGTTTTATTTAAGTAGACCTTTAGACATAACAAGGTGTGCCAGAAAGCGCACCCTGTTATTTGACAAAAGCAATTTGTAACGTTTTGTTGTTATTGTGGAAGTATAGAAAATAAAGCAGACATTTCTTTCCTCTGTTATCACAATGTAGCCTAAAGGGGGTCGCACACCGGACGAGAAGCGCAGTATAATAAGGGATCGCGCCGGCGCTGCCGAACCGAGAAGAGCAGTGTTGTGCTTTATATGAGATATATTTTGCAAGAAATATAGCATATACAATGGCCAGACATTTTGAAGAAACGTTATTGTGACTAATTTGCAAGGACCAGCATAAACCAGCAAAGGACCAGCATAAACCAGCAAAGGACCAGCATAAACCAGCAAAGGACCAGCATAAACCAGCAAAGGACCAGCTTAAACCAGCATCCCAGCGTCAAAATATACCTAACCAGCATATGCTGGTTTTTTCAACAGGGAAATACCATTAAATTCACGTCTCGCACACTTTAATGCCTTTTCAATGGAACATGCCTTCGAACTGGAATGATGGCTGAACTGGAAACAAACGACTGAAGTGATAAGAGACATACAAAATGTGCAGAGTGCTGGTATGCGAGGACTGGAATTAAGAACCACTGGTTTAGAAGATTAATCTCATAAACTAACTAAGCTAATAATTCTGGAGAGTAGTTAGCAGTTTAATAGTGATGAGTTGGTTCATGAACGATTCCATCTGTCATATGTCAAATGAACAAAAGATGTGAGAGGTGAGTTAATCATCTATGTTTTCTATCCTCTGCTGCATTATAATGACTTTCTAATTTGGAAAATGATCAAAGATGAGGTATGTAAATGTGTACATGGAATTTGGGTAATAAAATATAATATTTAACTAAAGAAAAAATCTTGGGGTGCATCAGGTACTTGCAGGCAAAATTATGGATGCTCCAGAAAGGGAACAAAATGTCAAAAAAGATGGACCCTGTTGCAAAACACACACACACACATCCATCCAAAAAAAATCCACATCCAGGCACTCACTGTTACGGCGCGGTTCAGAAACACACCGTGTAAACAGGGGTCTGGGTCCAAATGCAGGCTTTTATTAACTGCAGGGGAAAACAAAGTAAAAACCAAAACAGAAAACAAACAGAGCTAAGACTCTGACACACAGGCTTGAAACAGAAAACGGACTCTGAGACAATACGGCCACGTAGAGCTTGCATCAGTCCCGTAACAACACTTAATAATCCGCCCAGAGAGGTGTGGGGAAGGCGTATAAATAGCCCTCAGGATGGGCAACAGCTGTGTGTGTGTGAGTGAGTGTGTGCACAGGTGTGTGGAGTCAAGGTAACGGAGTCCGGGAGGATGGGAAGTGGCGACCTCTGGTGGTGAGAGGGAGAACACCAGACCCAGACCACTGACAGGACCCCTCCTCTAAGGAACGGCTTCCAGACGTTCCCGAGCGCCCAACCCGGGGATCGGCAGAGCGGGGATGGAGTAGGGAGAGGGATGGGGGGCCCAGGTCCGTGTGGTAGCGGGGGACCTGGGGACTGGGGCAGAGCCAGTGGGATGGGCACCCAGGGCAGAACCAGCGGCCACCACAGCGGTGTGTGTGGAGCTGCCGCCTTGAAAAAAACGGAGGCGAGTTCCACCTCCTCGGGGGAACTGCGAGCGGACACCGCCGCCTCGGTCCCCTGGTGGACATTGAGGAACCTTCCTGCTGGACCCATGCTTGGCGGATTATTCTGTCACGGCGCGGTTCAGAAACACACCGTGTAAACAGTGGTCTGGGTCCAAATGCAGGCTTTTATTAAGCCTCTGGTGGTGAGAGGGAGAACACCAGACCCAGACCCCTGACACTCACATTGTAAGCAAAGTAAAAAGCCATTATTCTAAGATAGGGCTACATATTAAAAAGACACCAACATGTATCAGCTCAAGCAGGCCTTCATCAGGGTGTTAGACAATATGGAGTAAGAAGTAGCTAAATAGATAGATTTGTGTGTGTGTGTGTGTGTGTGTGTGTGTGTTTTGCAACAGGATCCACCTAATCTTTTTTAATATTTTAACTGTTCAAATGAATGAAATAGTTCATTTTTTTGAACATGAATGAACTAGAGATCTGATGTTCCCATCACTAGTTTAACTTGCACTGGATTGAATCTTTTCATCATTATTGTTTGCTACTTAAATAGTTTCACTCTTGAAAGCTCCATTTGTCAGTTACCAGTTTGCAGACTAGTAGTAATGAACAGCTATTCAGTGTGTGTAGAGACGTCCGGTAATGTCTTGCCCTGTCATCGTTTCTTCTTTCTGTGCAGAATCACTCCCGGCTGCTGATGTGGAATATGTTGAGATCCAACCGCAGAAGAAGAGGAAGGAGAGGAAAGAGAAGGAGGAAGAGGTTCAGTACGGCGAGGTGACATTCACTCTAAACCCCTCAATCGCTTACACACGGCCTCAGGAGGAGTGTATTTATTCTCAGGTACACAGATGATAGTTTCACAACAACAGCTGTGTAAAATCACACTTTCCCTGGGAAATTAGCGCTTACGTTCACTTATGTTTCACTTTGAGAGTTGTACAGTTTACATAAAGCACATATCTCTTTGCACATGCACTGTAAATTGTTTTGTCTGACATGTTAATGATGGTACTGTATGTTGATATGCTGTGTTATGGCCTGTAGAGTGAGCATTAAAGTGATAGTTCACCCAAAAATTAAAATTACCCCATGATTTATTCATCCTCAAGCCATCCTAGGTGTATATGACTTTCCTCTTTCAGACAAATACACTTGGAGTTAAAAATGTCCTGGCTCTTCCAAGCTTTATAATGGCAGTGAATGGGTGTTGAGATTTTGAAGCCCAAAAAAGTGTCCATCCATCATGAAAAGTACTCCGCACGGCTCCGGGGTTAATAAGGCCTTCTGAAGCGAATCGATGTGTTTGTGTAAGAAAACTATCCATATTTAAAACTTCATAAACCATAATCTCTTGAGAGAGTGGCACTCCAGCGGATGACGTAAGCATCGGTGAGAAGTGACAGCGCAGAGGAGAAAGCAAAAAGTACAAAACAAGGATTTGTAAAGAAAAATGTTGGAGGATTGCGATATAAGCCAAGAGGAGACTGGTGTAAACAAAGCTTGGTTGTCGTGAGACTAGCATATTCTCACCAGAGCTTACGCTACGCCTACGTCCAACGTCATCCGCTGGAGCGGCCTTCTCTCGTGAACGTGCGTATGACAGTTAGCGGAAGCTAGAGATTGCGGTTTATGAAGTTTTAAATATGGATATGTTTCTTACTAAAATGCATAAATTCACTTCAAGAGGCCTTTATTAACTCACTGGAGTCATGTAGAGTACTTTTTATGATGGATGGATGCACTTTTGTGGGCTTCAAAATCTCAACACCCATTCACTGCCGTTTTAT